CAGGGAGGCCTCAAGGCAACGTCCCCAGAGAGAACATGGGGAGCTGTGACGGGAGGCTGAGCCAGCCCTGGGATTCTGGAGCAGAGGACAGGGGTGCGCAGGCCACCGAGGAGTCCTAACGTGGAGGCTGGGGACTGTGGGGTGGGGTGGCAGGGCCTGGGTGGGCAAGGTTTGTACTTGTGGCCTCAACTTGGAGAATAAATGATTTTCTGGAGACTACATCAGCGTCTGCATCTTGGGCTGGAGGTGAGTCCATCCTCCCAGGGAGAGAAGGATGAAGAGAGGTGGTTCCAGGAAGCTGCCCCTGCAGAGAGATCTGATGAACGAAAGCCTGAAATCTGCCCGAGGAGAGGTGCCCCCTGACCGCGGCTCACATGCTGGTGGAAGGTGTCGTCATGGGTGTGCGGAGAGCATTCAGTACAGTGCTGCAAGCCACGTGTGGGCCAGGATGCAAGGATAAACTCACTGGGAACCACAGCCCCAGGGGCAGCTCACACCCATGTAAACTCTGATCCCTGGATGTCTCTTGGGTGCTCACGGGAGATATTGGAGGCAGGTGGAAAGGCTGGAGAAAGCCTGTCTCCATGGGCTGCAGGGACAGAGCCCTACTCAGACCCTTTCCCACAAAGGAACAAAATCCTATAGCCACTGGGAAAAAGCAGTAAACCTGATCTCCCTCAGGGTCCCGGTGAGCACCTACTGAGACCAAGGAAAAGATCCTTAGCGACTTTTTGTGCTGGAGAGGGGCAGCATCATGGAGATCGTATCTCCAAGACTGAGGAACACAGGGTCCCCCTTAGACCGAGGCTAGAACAAGACGCAAGAGCCACAGGGCACTGGGCCAGCAGGCATAAGKTCCCAAGCCCCAGATATCTATTACTAAGGTCAGACAGAAGTGCAGAGAGAGGGCAGGTGGCCAGGGCCAGCAAACAGCACAGCCATCCCATAAAAGATGGGACCTAACAATTTAAGACCTGACRTTGCAAGGTATTTAAAACCTCATGGAACTATTATATTATTTGAAGATATAGATTATAACATTATTGTTGAAAGATGGTTACTGTCTACAAACACTGAACATTTCTGAAGAGATCTGTGTAATAATCCAATCCTGGAGATTAAATGGGATCATAAAACCTTTTCAACCTCAAAACAAGCCAACAGGAAAAAAGGAACAGGCGAACCAGTTTCCATCTAAGATGCCTGAGTTCATTCCAACCATTTCATAATTCTATTAAATAAAAATGATTCAAACTCATCAATGAAAAGAGATTCTCAGGTGGGATTTAAAAAACAAGGKGCTGGGGTGGTGGCTCAGTGGTAGAGCCTGTGCCTGGCATGTGTGAGACACCGGGTTCGATCCTCAGCACCACATAAAATAAATAAAACAAAGGTATTGTGTCCAGCTACAACTAAAAAATAAAATATTTTTAAAAAAAGCAAGACCAACTCAGTGGTGCATAATGAGGAGCCCACTCCACTCCTGGATACGGGACCTCCCAGTATCCAGCTTAGAAGCCTCGCCCCTCCCCCACCCATCTTGCCCCTTATCTGGTAAAGCTGATAAGCAAGTCTGGTGCTTTTTCGTCTGATGCCAGTGGAAGATGCAAACCTCACTAGGCTCACAATGGCCCCCTCCCCCAGCCACATACAGACCCCAGGTTAGTGTCCTTCCCTTGCTCTCTGCTTGAGGGGCCTGCCCTGGCCACCGTACATGTGAGGGGTGGGGGTGGCATCATCAGTGTCATCTTCCAAAGCAAACTGGGAATGAAATGCCCTGTGAACACAGGTTGTAGAGAGTTTGCAAGTAGAAGGACAAGACATGCCACCCAGATACACAAAAAGAAAGTTGGGTGGCCACATTCATGTTGAGTGGATGAATATTGTCAGGGAGAAGAAGGTRCATGATGTAATGACCAAGGGGGCAATTCAACAAGAAGACGTGACAGTCAGAGGTCCAGTGACCCTGAGCTGAATGAGTGCAGTCGTTTTGGGCAGGTGATTTCTAGGGAGAGGAGAGCAGAAGAGGGACGAGGAGGGGAGTCGAGGATACAGGTGGGCTGTGCACAGGTACCTAGTGGCCCCTCCGGGGACCCATAGGAGATGGTAGAAAGCAAACATCAGAGAAGAGAAGAAGGTGGGTCCCTATATACCACCTCTTATCTGTGACTGCTCGAGGCCACTCTGCGGCCCTAGGCAGAGGACCTGGTCACAYGCAGGCAATCTGGAAATTCCTTGGTTTCTGCTGCTGCTAATTTCAACATTGATATGTGGAGAAATGAACAACTAGGAAACAGAGCTCAACTCACATTTCAAAACATCCTCTTATTAAACGACATCACACACATCCCATATACACTGCAGACAGACTCGGCATCTCTGGAGATGGTTCTGATTTTGGAGGTGTCTTGCCAGGTGGAACCCATTTCCAAGGCACTCAGACCAGGGCCCTCTGCCTTTCTTCTGCTTCCAATCTATATGCCATCAGATGTTTTTTGGAGCTTAAGTTGATAGATAAATGACCCTTGTATCATCTTTTTTTTTTTCACTTGATTGAAGATTTTCTATCAGGAGTCTAATTAGAAGAATTGCCAGCCACTCCCCCGTCCAACCAAAATAGAATCTTCTTAGATGGGATCTGGTCAGCTATTTTTTGCTTATAGTCATTCCAACATATAAGGGCCACTGCATCGGAACAGTGTGTCACTTGTATTTCTCCAAGTTACTGGATTATCTCCAAAAAATCTGCTTTAATGTCCTTGACATTGACGGACATAATTTGATCAATGTTATAAATAAACATTGATATTTTTTAAAATATCATTTATGGCATAAGTTTATCAAGAGAAGATGGGCTGGATACAAAGCCAGGCYCTTTGTAAATGACTTCATATTCTACAAGTTCACTATTCTAGAGTTCCATCATTGTATTAGGCAAGTAATGGTCACATYTCATCACCTCTGCCTTTCTATCATTGTAAAAAAATACAGAATATCTAATTAATTTCCAATTGTAACATATGGTTTTGTTTTAACTGAAAGTCTCCCCCTAACCCCAAACAATCTTTGACTTTGATTCCTTAAATCAGACCAAAGCAAAATTTAGGACTAAATGTGTCTTCACCTGTGAAGTTCCCATAGTCCAGCAGAGGGCAGCACTGAGATGGGAAAATATGCCGCTCTCCCGTGGAGGCTCCTGGGAAGCAGATCATGGATGAGATATTGTAGAACTTGGATGGAAATTATAACAAATAGCTAAATTGGAAACCGATATCATGCTCTGTTGYCCTTCTCTCTGTTACCTCGGACCTGACCTGAAAAGACTAAATTCACAGAATTTGAGGTTTGTAGTTTTTTTTTTTTATATACCTGTTTTTTTTTTTTTTTAATTTCTATCAAGAGCCAGACATTTGGATAAATGTTTAAAGAAGAAATGAACAAATGTATGGATTTCTGCTGAGAGTCGAGGATTTTGGAAAGGTGGAGTTTATTTACTGTATGAATATTCTGCCCCCAWAGCCTTGCTCTGAAATGTAGTGGATTCCCCCACCTGGAGGTGTATGGCAGCAGGCTGGGTCACTTGGCTGAAATACTACAAAGCTAATTTAGACACCATAAGGGGACTGAATRAAGTGTAAGATCACTTCCAAACTTAAGAGCCTGGAACTCTAGGAGACGGCATCCCAGGGAAGCTAAAGATGTGTCCTGGTCTCCCAGCCAAGCAGCTCCCGGGCTGTGAGTTGACCTAAAATATTCCAACTTGATCTGAGGACCCCAGATCAAAGCTGCACCTTGCCTTGAAGACTCAGCCTGCTGGTGCCAGTGCACTGAGGTTAGAGTCTACCRAGGAGAGACCCATCTGCAAGAAGTTGCTGGGCCAGTTTGTGGTCATCTGTAACCTGAGAGCTGAGTCGCAGGACTTCAGATAAAAGAGCTTGAACTCAAACTAGATCTGGCTTCCAGGTCCCACCAGTCCCCCAGGAGTTCTGGGGAAGAGAGGGGTTTTGGGTCATCTCACATTCGGACAATCAAGCTGTGGGGACAGGACCTCAGGCTCTGGGCTGAGACCTGGGAAGCCCTTCAGAGGGACACGGAGAAAAGACCTCATTTGCAGAGAGCTGCCATCCTCCCGTGATGTGGCTCTATGTTTTGGTCATCCTGGCTTCTCTTGCCACAGGCACAGCTTGGGGTGAGTCCTGAAATATAAACACTAAGGGGTACTTTGGAGAACCCTACACCTGGGCAGAGGAGGGCTGAGATGTTGACAGGACAAGGCTCGCAGGTCTGGTTCTACACCAGTGTTCACTCACTGAACTAGGACTTGGAGTAGCCCGGCTCAGCCAGCCCCAGCCTCCCAGAGATTCAGGAAGAATAAGCTCCCTAAGGAAGCTGCTGCAGGTGTCAGGGGCAGGAAGACATTGAGATAACCCTGTGCCTCACAGGCAAGGAGATAAGAGCTCAGTTTACTGTTTCCTTGATCAGTGGCTGAAATCTGGCCAGATSGTGGAGAGTGGCTTAGTAGAGTATTAAAGATATCCACTCCGGGGCCAAGGGCAGGTCTGAATCCTAGCTGAGCACTTCTGAGCTGGGTTTCCTTGGGCAAGGTCCTTACCTTTGCTGTGCCTAGGTTATCCCATCTCTAAAATAAGAATGTCAGYAGTCCCCACCTCATTGGGYGGTTGTGARGATGAAACGGGTGGYTCTTTCCAAAACACTTAGGATGGTGCCTGTTTTCGAGAAGCTTCTGGTAAGGAAAGGGTAAATATAAAGGAGTTGACTTAAAACAAAGTGTATTAGTAGGAGTGTGAAGTATTGTAAGGCCAAYGTACCAAGAGTCTGAAAAGGTAAGYTGTTATCTATAGTTTCCAAGAAGAAGGGACTTACCTCTGGGGTTGGGGACACAGAGGGAAGGACCAGGGTCAGTCAGGAGGCACAGAGGTTGAGGACTGTGGGCAAGGACCTTTGTCAGGGTTTCCACTGGAAGGAAGAGGTGAGCGAGGTAAGTGGCTATAGGATTGATTGGTTTGGATAATTTCAGGGACCCCCCGGGTGTCGGGGCTGTCCCTGGTTGGGTGATCCTTGGCTCTGGGTGATTAGGGCAGGTGGATACCGACCCAGGGTGTGAGAAGCAGATACAGGAGGTGGGTGGTGGGCTCTGGATGGGTCAGAACCTAGGAGGGAGAGTCCCTGTAGAATCCCCAAGTCCAAAGCGTTAGAGACAGAAAGTTACAGTCTTAGTAAATGCAGGGCTATCACAAGGGACCTCAGTATATATTTGTGCCACTTTATCAATTGAGAAATGGAGACGCAGAGGGAGATTGTTTTAGTTAGCTTTTTATCCGTGTGGCCAAGATACCCAACAAGAACAATTTAGAGGAGGAAAATTTTATTGGGGGCTCATGGTTTTGGAGGTCTTGGTCCATAGATGGCCAACTCCATTTCTCTGGGCCCCKGGTGAGGCAGCACATCATGGGGCAAGGGCTCAGAGGAGGAGAGCTGCTCTGATCATGGAGGGATCATGAAGCAGGGGTGGGGAGAAGGGGCACACTCCCAGGCACGTCCTGCAGTCCCACCTGCCTACAGTCACCACCCGGCCAGCCCATTCGAACTCGGGTGGGCTGATTAGGTTAAAGCTCTCCGTCTAACTGTTTCCCCTCTGAACGTCCCTGCAGTAACAGGGGGACAGCTCATAGCCAAACCACGACAGACCCCTCTCCCAAGGAAACCTGAAACATCGTGCCCGGCCTTCCTCTGGCTGCTAATGCAGGCTCTGCTCTGCACATCAGTGCCCCGACAGCCCAGGCCCCATCTGGATTGAACTTTCCCTGGACGTGCAACACTGTGAGAGTCCTAGGACTGAGAATAAAAAGGAGGGGGAAAAATGCAGACCAAAATAGGAGTGGAACATTCCTTTACCCAGGGTTCCCCCGGCAATGCCACCTGATGTCCATCTTTAGGGAGCCCATACAGTGAAAAAATACCTCTTGGTGTTATTTATAATGTTTAGTAACGACAACAACCAACCTAAATGCTCACAGTAGGGAACTGGCCGTCAGTGCCATGAGATGTGGACACTGCTGTGTAACCTGGCTTCTTGGTAGAGAGTTTCGGAGCTGGGTGGGGTGGTGCACGCCTGTAATCCCAGTGGCTCAGGAGTCTGAGGCAGGAGGGTCACAAGTCCATTCAGCCTCAGCATCTTAGCAGGGCCCTACGCAGCTTAATGAGACTCTCTCTCTGCAAGTCCCAGCTGCATGKGATCAGAAGGCCTGGCTCCCTCTTCTCCCTCCTGCAGCCCCTCCCTGGTCCCCCACCAGGACGTGGCCTCTTTCTCCCCAGCTTCAAGTCAGGTAGGTCTGTGGCTCCTCCTGAAAACAGGGCTCCCTCTTGTTCATCCTCTTAACCAGCTCAGCACCAGGACCCTAGTGGGTACCTGCTTCCAGAAGCTTCTAAGAGGGAGGGCAACATTCTCAGAAGCTCTCCTGTTTTCTCCGACTTTTGCCTGAATGCATTTAGACCTCAATTCCAGTGGACTTCTTCTGTCAGAGCTTTGGGTCAGGTGCGACACTTTCCTCATCCCTCTTTTGCCAAAGAAGAAATCAGACTAGAGAGTCTAGGTCACTGACTCATTGTCACTCGCTTAGAATGTGGCAAAACCCACCTGGAACCCAGGACTAGCATTTCCCCCTCTAACATCCTCATTTGCTGCCCAGGTCAATTTGAAGAAAAAAAGCTGCAGCCGCCGGAGGTGGAGACCCTCCAGGGCAAAGTCAAGGGGAAGGTCGCAACCCTGAAAGGATCTTCAAAGCCTGTGTCCATTTTCCTGGGCGTCCCTTTTGCCAAGGCCCCTGTTGGACCCCGGAGGTTTGCTCCCCCAGAACCTGTGGAGCCCTGGAAGGATGTGAAGGACACCACGTCCTTCCCTCCCATGTAAGTGAGGTGGCTTGTTTCGGAGGATGTTTGTCTCTCAGTGCTGCAGGGAGGGGTGGAGGCCGTCCTCTGCTTGGCTCTGCTTTATCCTGGAATCCTCCAGACACTGCAGAGCCCTGGAGCCTTCTGGACCTCTCGGAGATTTCTAGAACCCTTGGTTCAGCACATAGTTCTTGGGCATCTATTGCACTCCAGGCCCGTTGTGGGTTCCTGGGTCTTCCAATCCTAGAGGGGGAGAGAGAGAATAAATAATACGCAAGGCAATAAATGAATTGGGTCATATGTGAGAACAGGATTCGTGATTGGTGCTTTGAACAAAGAACAGCTGAGCAGGAGGAAGAAGCAAGTGGCCACCTGTGACTTCTGTCTTGAACCTCGTGGCTGGGCCTGGGAGGGATGGTGCATTAGTGGGCACATGGACATGGCAACTTCTCAACTCCCAGGCAGGTGTGTCTAGATCCCTAGGAAGGGACAGAACAGTGGCTGGTGTGCCCAGGCACCTGGYCTAGCTGGGCCCAGAAGGCCAAAGTCCCCAACTGGCCTCACAGATCAAGCATCTCACTTTCATAGATCACCTTCTTCCCTCCTCCCTTTCTTGCTATCTTTCTTTGTGGTTAACTGGTTTTCTCTAGCAACATCTTTTGTTTGATCCCTTGCTTTTTCTTTTTGGCATATCTGATACACATTTTTGCTTTTTAGTTACCATGAGGCTAACAATAAATATAATATGTTAAACTGATAAGACCCTAACTTTGATCACAAAGAAAACAAACCAAAAAAAAAAAAAAAAAAACCTCTACATTTTAACTCTCCCCATTTTTCTTCTTTTCTTTTTTTTCTTTTCTTTTTTTTATTATTAGTTGTTCAAAACATTACATAGCTCTTGACATATCATATTTCCTACATTTGATTCAAGTGGGTTATGAACTCCCATTTTTACCCCGTATACAGATTGCAGAATCACATCGGATTTGGTCTCACATGGGACATCATTTTTTGTCTTGCTTAGTATTAACAAATTAACGTAGTGATTATTACTTTGAATAGTATTCTTTTTAAAGATGTAGGTGGCTTACCTAGCATCCCTACAATATTAAAATAATTATAATTGTATATTCACTTTCAACAGGGATGTTTTCTTGTGACACACTAACATCCTTTTCTGTCAATGTAAAGAATCCCTTTAGCATTTCTCGTAGGAAAGTTCTGGGAGCAATGAATTGCCTCAGTTTTATTTCTCTGGAAAAGGCATATTCTGTGCTGCATTGTCTCTGACCTTTGAGAGTTTGATTCTAATGTCTTAGTGTAGTTTTATTGGGCTGAATCAAATGCATGACCTTTGGCCTTCCTGTACCTGGAAGTTAACCTCTTTCCCCAGATTCGGAACATTGTCTGTTAGAATCTCTGCAGTTTGTCTTTCTTACCTCCCTCCTGAACTCTAACAATCTGAGTATTTGGTCTTTTGAAGCTGTGCCCTCGATCTCATATACTTTCTTCATGTATTTTTTATGTTATTCATTGTATTTTTCAGCTTTAGTTTTTCTGGATTTTTTAAAAATRTCAATCTCCTTGTTAAATTTCTCTGATAAATTTATGAATTGTTTCTTGATGTGTTCTTGAAGTTTTCCTGGCTCCTGTAAAACAAATAAACAGACAAACAAAACCCCAGCTGTTTGGAATAATTCCTGGGAGACATTCCACATCTTCATCGTTTCAGGGTTGACYTTTGCTGCCTCACTGTGTCCATTTGTGGAGGTCCTATTTCCCTCAATGTTCTTGATGCTTGGGATCATGATACAGTGTCTATGCATTGAAGGGTTATTCATTCCCGTCTTCACCGTGTAGCTTTGTGTCAGCCCGTCTTCAGTGRGACTTCTAGAGATTTTAAGTCCATGGAAGGTAGGGTTCCCTGAACCTGTGACGGCTACCACCGTCTGAGCAACAGCTTGCACTCAGCCCAGGTTTGCCATGAATGTCACAGGGCTACAAATTTGCTGTGGCTTTCCAGTCCCAATGGACGCAAGCAAGATGCAGGAGGGTACCCAGGGAGAGCTGACCTATTCTAGAAGCCCGTCTCAGTCGCCAGATAGGTCCACACCCTAGCACCTCTCTGCACAAGGGGGACAGCTGCCTGACTGCAGCGGGAGCAGCAGGAGCCTGGAGTGGGCCACTGGACTGCCATGATGCAGATGCTCGCAGTCCCATCTCATCAGATCAGCAGTGCCCTGAACAGGTACAATAGTTGCTTCACTGCAGCGGGAAGGGCCAGAGCTAGGACAAGTCCCCCTTGGCATCTGCTGTCTGATGGGAGGAAGAAGCCAAGGCCTTCCCACTCTGCRTAGTCTTCGAGCCTCTGCCCAAGATTTCCACCAGGAGCTCAGAGAGCTTCTCCCTCTCTCAGTGTCTCCAGTCTGGTAGCGACCACTGCATTTACGGGATTAAACCTTCCAGACTTAGGGCGATCTTGTTAGATGTATGAACCTCAGGGACCCTTGCTTCTGTCCTCCACAGGTGCTCCCAAATCACGGAGAGAGGCCCAACGCTGTCTGAGGTCTTCAGCAACAAATTTCCTTCCTCCTCTCCTAAGCACTCTGAAGACTGTCTTTATCTAAATATTTACACCCCTGCTAACCGGAAGAGCAAAGAGCTGCTGCCGGTAAGCAAGAGATGACCCACCCGACCGGTCACCACGTGGGAATTCTAGCCCCAGCCTCCCCCAGAAAGAGACGGAGGCAGCTCTCAGCACACCCATCCCAGACCAGGCCTCCCTTCTCCAGTGTCTTCATGATGAAAATGTTGCTGTAATCTGAAATGCACTCCTGAATTTTTTCAGGTTTTCTGACAGTCACAGCAATAGTGACTACTCTAAGTTGCTAGCTGGAGAGCAACGACGACATAATTTTCAATAGAATTAAAGTGCAGAGAATCTTAGGGAAAAGACAACCACCCAAAACACCATCCTTACAGACACAGAAACTGAGGCCCAGATGGAGGAAGGGAGGTCGCACACTAGGGTTCAGAGGTCCAGAGCGCAGGTCTTCTGATCTTCAAAGCAATGTCTTTGAACATGGGCTAGGAAATCAAACAAGTATGTGCCCTCTCCCCAGCACCCCAAGATCATGTGGGAAAGCTCACCGGCCCATGACAGAGGTGCAGGAGGCAGAGCCCGGACAGCCTCAGGAACACTTTCCTTGCCTTAGGCCAATCATCTGGGGTCTCATCGAAGCTCATCTCCCTCCCTAAACTTTGGTGCAGACTGATGTTCAGAGTAACGTTCAGTGAGTCAGCATTTCCCAGCCAAGGAAGAGCCAGAGGTGGGGCAGCTGCCAGGGGCAGGCCAGAGGTGGGGGGTCTGCTGGGGGGAAGAAAGGGCAGTGATAGCGCCCAGTCCCCCAGGAAAACCCTGACGTTGTTCCCAGGGGTGGGGGAGGCTGTTGTGAATTGGAGACTGGAAGTCAGTCCTACGCAAGGTACAAGGTGGTGGGGACTTAGTCCATCCATTCTTCTGTTATGAACTTGAGACTTGGGCTTAGGGGGAGCAGGGGCATGGCGCCTTGCCCAGCAGCCCCTGCCCTCCAGGTCTTGCCATCTGGCAGCACACATGTCCTGGCCTCTTCAGCCTGTCTGTGCTGACCTGTCCTTGAGCTCACCTTCACTCAGGTGACCCCGACTCAGTCCCTCCCTGGGGACGGCAGGCTCAGAGGTGCAGGAGGAACAGGGCTCTGGGAGCCTGGAGGCAGGAGACCCCCAGCTGTGGACACAGGGTCTAGATCTCCAGGGTCTGGGTTTGGATCCTGGGTCTGCCTTGGCCTGGCTGAGAGTCTTGGGCACGTCCTCCACCTCCCTCAGCCTCTGCTTCCTCTCGTGGGAAGAATCCCGTGTGAGTGTCTAATGATGGCGGTCGGGCTTCATCTCGGGCTGGCTGAGTGCGCAGAGCGAGCCTCCTGGAACACAGGTCAGAGCTGCAGCAGGACCTTCCTCCTGCCCTAAGGGCTGGCTCACTGTGCTGTCCCGTGGGCTGCAGGGAGTCGGGCAGCTCTGCACGTGGGCCCTGGGGCTGCCGGGACCAAGTCCCACTTCTACCACTTACTCCCTGCAGCTTCTTAGGCAGGTGAAGTGCCTCGTTTTTACTGTCAAATAAGACCATATTAGGACTTACTTGTGCACATTATGGGTTCTTTTTTCACTAGCAATATCATATTATTTCACTCACTCTCATTTCTTCTCTGCTACATGAGCTCTTTAACAAAACAACCATGAATTTTGAATTGTGTCCATGCTCAATTCTTGGCCCAGTCGCTGGTCCACAGAATGTTCTCAGATAGTGTCTCAGCAATGTCTGAAGGCTTCTTGGAGGAGGAGAATGTGAGCCTGGGCTTGATGGGGAGTAGGTAACTTTGGATGTGCAGAGGTGGCCGAGGGGTGGCACCCTAGGCTCATGCATGCTTCTTAAGACAGTCATCCCTCAGAGGGAGGTTCAACCCCACGGGAGTTAACTGAGATGCAGCTGAAGTTCAAGTGCTGCCTGTTGCTTATGTCGAGCTGGTTAAATGGCCCGGGCATAAGGGCAACAGCGGTGTTGGAAGAACGGGACATCCCCTGCCTTTGCTATTCCCAGGCTGACCTTCTCAGTTTGAAGAGCCTTGGAAGGATGTGGCATGGGGGGCTAGAGAGAAAGGCAAGGGCAGCCAGGTGGCACTCAGAGGGGTGGTCCCTGGGCCCCAGCTGGGAGAGCTGGGGAGGAGAGAGACTGTCTTTTGCAACCTCGCTGTGCACTGGTGGACTTGGGGTCCTGTCGTGGCCAAGAGGTAGGGGATCACACCAGAGGCCCCTCTTCCCTCTCTGCGTCCTTTATCTGTAAGCTTGCTCCCTCCCTGCCCAGGTGATGGTGTGGATCCACGGAGGTGGCTTAGTCTCTGGTGGGGCATCAAACTTTGACGGGCTGGCGCTAGCTACCCATGAAGATGTGGTGGTGGTGACTATCCAGTACCGCCTGGGCATCTGGGGGTTCCTCAGGTAAGGCGCTGGACAAAGCATCTCTGTTTCCTAGTATTTGCACCCCGGCACCCACCTTCTCATGCCCCAGCCAAACTTGTCCTCTGGGTTCTGAGCTCTGGTGCATTCTGCTCCCTTTGCCTGGGCTGCCTGCTCTGCCTGTCGAGGACCGGTTCCACCTACGATCACCCTGACACACTCCTCCCCTCTCTCCCGTGCTGCGCGGTAACGGCAGCCCTCTGCGCTGCCCGTTAACATGCAGCAGGGCAGTGGACTGTGGCACGTCTCCTCCCAGAAAGGACGGAAGGAGCGGGCTCAGTGAGTGCAGGGGTGTGAAGGCCAGGGTGGCTGGAGATGGGACGTCACCAGAGATCTGACCCGGGGATCGCGGCTCCCTGGAGAAGTGCTGGCATCCACTCAGCTCGGTTCCTCCTGAGCATCTGGCATAAGTCGGAATCAAGGCTAGAGTGTTCTCCATGCCTTCTCCACGGGCACAGGAAGCAGGTGTCCTGCGGGGTGCAGCCACTGGGACTCTTTTCTGACACCTGACCCTGAGATGGTGGCTGGGGGTTCTGGAGCAGGGTCTGATCACCATTGGGAAGACTCCGAGCYGGAGGAGGGGTGCAGGTCTGCCTGTCGGGGTTGTCTGAGGCCACACATGCCCAGGACATGTCACCTGCCCAGGGAGCCTCTTCTCTTCCATCTGGGAACTGTGATTCTGCTTCCTGTCCTAGCAGCACGGCCCCAGACTCTCTCCACCTCCTTCGGCCCTGTCTCCTCCACCCMCACCAGGCCGATTCCTCCTGTCCGGGCCTCCTGTCTGTGCTTGTCGAAATCCCTGATGACCTCAGCCCCTCTTGGAGCAACTTCACGTACCTCTCAGCAGTGGCCTCTCACAGATGACCACTCACGGCTCTTTGAAACGTCTCCTCCTCTTGGCTCCTGGATGCCTCTCACCCTCTGGCTGCTCCTTCTCGGTCCCTCTGACGGCCACCGTCCCTTCTGCATGCTCAGGCCTCTGAGTGTCCCCCYGGCCCCCTACACTGATTCCCCGAGTGATCCCAGCAGCACGGCCACAGCTTCTGTGGGAGCCCCCGCCTCTCCTTGACCCCAGATTCCATCTGTAACTCTGTCTCCTTCTCCCTGCTCAGCAGCCAGAGTGACCACGTGACACAGACCGAGCCACGCCACGCCTGAGCGGAGGGCTCCCGCTGCCCTCGGAAGGAGCCTGTGGGGCAGGGGGTGGCCTTGGGCAGGGAGCAGAAGGAGAGTGGCCGCAGCTCTTTCCTTGATACCTCTGTGCCTGGAAGGCCCCTGGCCTGGGATGGCGATGGAGGCCTTGAAGGTTTCTCAGATGGTCTGGGCCTTTCCCAGTGGTCAGAATGATTGGCCCTGCTCACCTGTTCCTCAAGGGGTCCCTCCGCTCCACCCTTGCATGCCTTCTATTTGCTCYGTCCGTATCCAGATTGCAAATTTTCGGAATCTTCCTGCTCTGCCTCTCTTTGCTGTCCAGGCTCATTGTGATTCTTGCTGGGAGCAGCCAGTAATACCCGGGCCATCATCTGAGGGCTTTACGGCTTAGAAGTTTCTTCCACCAAGTAAACGATTCTGTCATTCTTAGCCACAGACTTGGTTCATCCAAGTGTCCTGAATTGCTATGACAAGGGTCRTCTTTACTCCAATCCGATCCTCGTTTCCATCGGAGACACTTCTACTTGTCCCCTGGCCCTCACTAGAATCAACCACAGGTCACCCCTTACAGCTTTGGAGGCTTTTCCGAGCCCACTCCTGCTCCAAACTCTTCCAACCTTTTTCCAAAATCTCGTCCACATTTTTGGGTATAGCTATTTCACTGATCCCATTCCTCAGTAAACCGATTTTTTTTTTTTTTGAGAGGTGGGTACTGGTGATTGAACCCAGGGTTACTTTACCACTGATTTCCAGTACTTTTTCTTTTTCTTTTTTATTTATTTATTTTTTTAAATTTTGAGACAGAGTCTCACTAAGTTGCTGAGGGTGGCCTCGATCTTGCGATCCTCCTGCCCCAGCCTCCTGAGTCACTGGGATTACAGGTGTGCATCACCACAWCCGGCAGTACCAGTTTTCTATATTAGTCCATTTTCCGTTGCTACAAYAAAATCCCTGGTACTGGGTACTTACTTCATAAGAGAAGAGGTTTATTTAACTCACAGTTTTGAAAGCTGACAGTCCACACAACAAGGAGCGAGCTGTGGGAAGGGCCCCTTGGCTGTGTCACATTACAGCAGATGGCGTGTTAGCAGCACATGTGAAAACGAGAGAGACAGAGACAGGGAGCCAGAGAGCAGGGAAGAGCCATCTTGCTCTTTTATAACAAAYCTCTTCCAAGAACAAAGAGAGCCCCATCCGAACTATATCAATTCTTTCTACGGGCAGCACCCTCAATGATCCCCTCACCTCTGGCTCTACCCCTTAAAGGTCACACCACCTCCAACGTCACCACCCTGGGGGCCACACAGGCACCAGTGGGAGAAAAATCATATCAAACCACAGCAAGCCCCAGCCCATCTCTGGTCCTGARGGCCCCGCCATGACACCTCTACCCCCACCTCACCCTGTTCTCTCCCAGCACCGGGGATGAGCACAGCCCAGGGAACTGGGGTCACCTGGACCAGGTGGCTGCTCTGCGCTGGATCCAGGACAACATTGCCAACTTTGGAGGGGACCCAGACAATGTGACCATCTTTGGAGAGTCAGCAGGAGGAGAAAGTGTCTCTGTTCTTGTGAGTGCTCCTGCCCCCGCCCCACCCCGGACCTCTTGGAGACCAGTGGATCCAGCCGCAGGCTCCTTTGTTACAAAAGACCTGGGTTCAGGGTTGACTCTGCTCACTGCCTGGCTTCAAATGGGGGAGAGTCAGGGCCTAGACCCTCTTTTTGTCCTGCGGCCAGCAGCATCTCCAGCCCAGACTGCAAGAGGGACTTTTCTCCCTCCTTCCTAATCATTTTAATATKATGAACTATAGATAAAAGGTCAGGAGGAGGGTTGGATAGGAGGTCATTGCTGCAGTGGAAGCCAGATCTGTGTGCTGAGAGAGGTGCTCACCAACACAGTCAGGGGCTCTGATGACTGGTCCATGTCCATCAGGGAGGCTAGCAGACTTGAACTAAAAGATCATGTGCCATGGGGTGAGGTCAGTGGGAGAGAGTAGGGGTGGAAGAGGGAATGGAGAGGGGCGGGGAAGGGCACACAGGACACAGGCACAACTTGATGTGGGGAGTGGGGCTGGGAGGGAAGATCTAGAAGGTTCGAGGAGCCTTAAGAAATCCTCCTGRTACCTTGAAGTTGACCCTGGGGTCAACTGGTCACTGTAGTTTTCAAACATCTACTGGTTTCATAGTGGGATACTCAGAAGAAAATGGTGATATATATTTTTAAAGTAGAGAAAAAAGGAAAAAAAAGCAAATAATCCCAAAGAAGAAAGAAGTCCTCCATATTTCCACTCTGCARGGAGAGTCACTGTGGAGGTTTTGAGATGCATTTCCCAGTCTTTTTCCTAAGACTTTCTCTCTCCTCCACCTTTCTGTCAGTGATCTCTCCTCTTGGCCTCTGGACCACCTACTGTGGGTGGCCTAGGCATCGCCATTTTAAAGGGAGCACTTTCCTCGACATTACAGGATATCAGGAATGCTTCCCTAAAGGCTAAACACCCTTCGGCTGCAATATTTTGTTGAATTATTGGGTAGCATTTCATGATAAGGCTGAAAAAGAAAAATGTTTATTTCCCCAACTTCATGACATTTAGAACCCCGAATGATTTCCAGTTTTTACAATTATAAACGTCACGCACCGTGGCTGGGTGCCTCCATGATCATTTTTAGGAGAAACTGCATAATGGAAGGATCAGAACTTGTGGCTTGGAGCTGCCCAGCTCCCTCTCCARTGCTTTTGCTTGTCGTGATGGGCCCACGCCACTCCCAGTTCTCTCTCTTACTGGGTGCTCCGGTGTCCCCCTGCGGAGGTCCTCCCAGGGGAGGCAGGCCCAGGAAGCAGGCCAAGCCAGGATGGGCACTGAGCTGTCCCATCTGCTGGCTGGGTGCCAGCGTCACCAGGGCAGAGTTGGCTTGGGGGACCAAAATGGCCCTGATTCTTCACTGCGAGCATAAACTAGTCTCCCCCCCACTCCCTCCCCAGGTGTTATCTCCCTTGGCCAAGAACCTCTTCCACCGGGCCATCTCTGAGAGCGGCGTGGCCCTCAGCCCCTGCATGTTCAGGAGGAACACCAGTGTTGGAGCTCAGGTAGGTCTCACCTCTGACAATTCCTGCACAGTTTCCTCCACTCTCCAGGGATCCTCGGGGGTCTTTCCACAGGATCCAGGGGGACATGCTCAAAGAGCCAGTGGAATGAGGATAACTGAGCAGAGAGGAAAGGGGGCCACCTTGTCCAGCCTCCCGTTTGGAGCCAGGACACGGGGGTGGAACATGGAAATGGTTCATCGAGCTCAGCAAGTGACCAGGGCAGAGCTTCCATTCAAACTCTGGACACTTGACGTCCAGCAAAGTGCAGTGTCCATCGTCCCCACCTCTCCCAGGGCTCCAAGGCAGGTGCGGGGCTGGACAGTGAGCAGTGGCCTGGGGTTAGGTCATGTCTCTGTCGCAGTCTGAGTCCTAGTGGTTCCGCTTGCATGATGTGGGTCTGGACTGATTCTTCTCTGGGGACCTTGTGGCCAGGGCTGGTTTCTGGAGAGTTCATTTACTGATTTGTTCTGATACTCCACAAGGTTTGGATATATCCATATACTAGTCACCACTGAACGCATCCATTCCAGCTGGAGAGAGCTTAATGAGATTAATGACACATATCGTGGAAATGATACGATTTCAACTATAACAAGATAATTAAAGGAACCAATTAAAGGAACAAGCTGGGTCTGGTGGTACAGGCCTATAATCCCAGTGATTAGCCTTGGGAGGCTAAAGGAGGAGGATTGCATGTTTGAGGCCAGCCTCAGCAATTTAGTGAATGCTGTCTCAAAATAAAAATAAAAAGAGTTGGGGGTGTAGCCTGGGGTTAGAGTGCCCCGGGTTCAGATTCCCRTAATGTGAGAGAGACACACACAAACAGGGACAGAAATAACAGAATCTGATCTAATGATTAAACCCACAAGGAGCATTTAGCYCAGGTGTTATCATCATCCACAGGGTTAGTTCTGAGGACCACCCACTGGATCTCCCGATGTGGCGGGATTTGGAGCTGCTTTTGGCAGAGTGGCTGGAGAGCACTGGATAGGAAAGGGCTGACAAGCAGGAGGGAGGACTTGGAGACACGGAGACTCTGTAGAATGTTCGAGATTTGGTTCAGAGGGCTCTTTGTTTATCAGCAACCGATGCCCAGATGCCCAGGCTCAATTCAGGAAGGAGGCATTTATTTATTTATTTATTTATTTATTTATTTATTTACAAGGAAATTAAGGTGGCAGAGATGAAGCCACACTTTGTGAACAAAAAGAAATCACAAATTTTAGAGCAAAGGGAATTCAAGACTCTCTTACTCCTGCCCTTTCGCTGAGCACTGATTCTGTAGCAGGCTCTGTGTGAGGCTCTGGGGAGCCCACACCCCSGACCCACCATGGCCCCATCATCGCAGAGCCTGCCCTCGTCCCTCTATGACTTCTCCAATACGGCCACCACCTCTGCCCCTGGGATTGATTAGGAACTCCAGTTTGGTTGCAGACAGCAGAAGCTTTCTTCTCTGTTTTAGAAAATGAGTGGCTCCCTCTAACAGCTCTCGGCCACCAGGGGACTGGAAACCAGACTGTGGGATTTGGGGTTCCATGCTCCTGATAGACCCTGGTGCCTATTTTAGCAGAGATCAGCTCACAGAAATGCAGCTGTGTAACCAGCTCGTGCCTGGATTTCAACTAGTTAACAGAGGCAGCACAAGTGGGGTCCAGAACCCACACCCGCCCGCCTGGGGTGTTTTCAGCTACCTACTGCCTCCCCCTGCAGCCTTCGGGAGTCGGGCAGGCACCGCGGAGGGCAGGAGCACTGCTGTTGAACTCACTGTTATCTGTGGTCTCTACAGCAAGTTGCTGCCGCAAGTGGATGTCCCACCCACAGCTCCGCCGCCATGGTTCAGTGCCTGCGCCAGAAGTCAGAGAAGACTCTCTTGGAGACCACGAAGAAAATGGTAGGTGCCTCCATTCCCGGGCCCCCACCCTGTTCACCAGGCCCCAGGCACGCTCTCTTCTTGCCCCCATCAAGTTACTCAGTTTCTCACCTCTCAGGAGCAGTGTCAGGCTCCTGATCYCATGTGGTAGTTTTGTTTTGCCCTTTTTATGGTCCAACACCTCAAATGTCAACCAGTCCAACAATCACAAGATGCAGAGTTGCATAGCAATCCCCCGGCTTCATCAAAAGTCAATATTTTGTCATTGCTGTGCTCAGATRTCTTTTCAAGAAGTTGAACATTTTATATCCACAGAAGTTACCACCATCCTGCATTTGGGGGTTGAAGGTATTAAGCACAAAGATTTTCAGAAAGGCSTTACAATGTGGCTAGCATTGATTCAGAAACTATGACCCAGTAGTGGCCCAATCCTCTACGTTTGCTGAGATTCTGCCTCAATTGTGAGGCTAAGATGACCAGCCATTCATGCATTCCTTCACCTATCACCCACCCCTCCATTCATCCATCCATCATCTAATTGTCCATCTATCCAGCCACTAATGCATTCAATCCATTGATATCCTTCCATAAATCCAGTATCAATCCATGTTTCCTTGAACCATTTCCAATCACTTTAACATTCTCGCATCTTCTAGCACCGTATATCTTCACTCCATCATCCATTCCAACCAAAGCAATGATCCATCCTCCATATCTAGCTGTCAGACTCAATTCGCGCATTCATCTGATTCACCCCCTGAACAACTGCTTGGGGGGAGCGTGGAGGAGGGTGTCCAGGGAGCGATGCAGCTAGGATGGAGCATGGCTCTTGCTCACCAAGAACCATGCCCGAAGAAACATGCCTACGGGTTTCATGGTTAGATGAGGTGAGAGTATAAAGAGAGGACGCATTCATTTAGCCAGCTGAGTGCTTTCCAGACGACACTGGAAGACTGGTGGACCCTCATTGTGGTTTGTCACCACAGAGAAGCTTACCCAGCAGGACAAACGCCCGTGCATGTGGGGCCAATGGACCCCCTCCCTTCGTTGCAAGGTGTCGGTGTGAGCTCAGAAGCARCTGGAACCCTGGGCCTCTTTATCTGGACCCTGGACAATGCTCCTAGGCCCTGTGGCAGGCCACGGCACCAGRCACTGCCCACATGCCCATGGGGTGAGGCTAGTGCGACCTTGGAACTTGGGTCCTGGCTCTTCAGGTTCACACAAGGTACACAGGTTTTCCAAGAAGTAAACAAGTCTACTTTCTAATGCCTTGAAAGAGGCAAATCCACCCCATTTTGGCACAAGAGGACCCAGCTCATAAGGAGAGGAGGGCACAACCACAGACGTCCTCTCTGGAGCTCCGGTGGCCCTCACTGTAGGTCCCGGGGCCGTCCTTCCCTTGCTGGCACCTGCCCCTGCCCTCTCTTGTGCCTCCACCCTGTGTCCATGTGCAGCTCAGACCCTGTCCTGCCTGCCTGCTCTGGGCCCAGCCAAGGAGGCCCTGGGCGGGAGGCCCTGATACCTCTGGGTGTCAAAAATCAGAAAAATCAGGTTTTCCCCCAGAAGCCTTTCTCACCACGTCTTTTGCCTTTGTCTTTACAGAAATTCTTTAGTCTTGACTTATCGCAAGACCCCAAAAAGGTAAGGCCCTTTGGCTTCTTGATTTCAGGTTCTGCGTCTGAAGACATTTGAGCTCCAATTCACGATGAATGAAAGAATTCCTCTTTGTGCAATCAGAATCACTCCTTGTGGAGTGATTATGATTGCACAAATCACACCTGCCTATGTAACCCCTTGTTAGGGTTACATAGGCAGGTGGCCCTCTCCCCTGACTAGCTCAGGCGCTCCCAGCCATCACCTCTGGGTGCCCTGGACTCGGCCACCCCTTTTCCTTTACACTTCTTGCTTCCAGAAAGGCCCTGTGGGAGGAGACGGCTCTAGGACATTCTCGGGAGGAAGAGATGACTAGACAAGGGCTCAGGAGTCTTTGCTGAGGAGGACACATCCTCGGGGGACCCCAGGGTGATTAGCAGTGCAAGGAGGGAGGGAAGGAGGCCCCAGGATCTCAGTCTTGAGGACAYGGTCCTCCTCCCAGTACCTAGGAAACCCCAACAGGATCCTCCCCACTCCTCCTTCTTTCTCTCCCACCTCCTAACTTTTCCAGGATCTGGTGACATCGGCTGAGCACCATCTTACAGCCCTGTCCTCAGCTCCCTCCCAGGAGATCCCAGCACTTCTCTTAAAAGTCAGATGAAATGAGATCGATTCAGACATCCATCAGAGTTTCAGAAGCACTGACTACCTTGCAGGATGCGATTTGGCAGCTGGGATTTGGCAGTGGCACTGTTGTAGGGACAGACGAGGCAAGGCACCGAAGACAGCAGGAAGCCGTTTTATTTGGCTGGAGCCAGGTTCAGAGGGCACAGCTTTTGCTGTAATCAATCGATTGATTGATTGAACCCCGAGTTCAGGGAGTTTCAGAGTTTTATACCCAGCATGTAAAGGAGGGGCTCAGAAGTTCACAGTCTGCAGAAGTTCACATAAGAGCAGCTTTTTCTTTCACTGTTCTGGGCAAGTTAACCCTTCAAGGACCTCACCTGAGAAGGGGAGAGCTTCTTCTCCCCTTTCTTTCCTCCCCCTGCCAGCTGTTACCATGGAGCCCATGTGTAACTTCTCTTAAAAATGTAGACATCTCTGTGAAGCCCAGCTCAAGACCAGAGCCTTGTTTGCACTTTTCTACAAAGTACTATACTGGATACGTTTGTGAAAAACTAGTAAGGGGTGTCCAGCACCTGGAGTGCTGGTATCTTCTCGGCCAAGTAAAACAGGGCGACATGAAAATAGGAAGTTTATCTACAATGGACTCTTTTGCTGACAGTCCTAAGATCAGCCATGGTGAAGAGGGCTCTCCTGTGGAGAAAGGGGGTGCCACTTCAGCCCAGGCAAGAGTCCCTGCTGTCCTGAAGCTTTTCCTTCCAGGGTGAGGAGGGCACAATGGGAAAAAAATAAAATAACATGAGAAATGTGATGTGTTGGTCATGGACAGAGGTAAGGTAAACGAGGTTAGGAGCTGGTGTAGGGGCACACACCTGTAGTCCCAGCGACTCAGGAGGCTGAGGCAGGAAGGTCACAAGTTCCAGCTGCCTTAGCCACTTAGTGAGACCCTGTCTTGGAAGAAGAGAGAGAGTTGCCCAGTGGTTTGGATGTAAATAGTGGGGTCAGCAGATGGCTTGATGAGCAGGTGACCTTGGAGTCAAGCTCTGGAGAGCTTGCTGTCAGGAGAACTGGAGGARGAGTGAGTGTTCCTGGCAGAGGGGACAGCAACTTCAGGGGCCCAAGAGGCCCCTGTGTGTGGAGTGGAGGGAGCAAGGTGGAGGCTGAGGAGGTCCTGGTCATGGGGGTTGGGTGGTCACTGGAGGGACTTCGCCTGTGACCCAGCAGCAGATGGGAGGTGCTCAGAGGGCTCTGGACAGGGATGTGGTCTCTGATTTTACGACAGTGCATTTCACTGCAAGCTAGAAGCGGCAGAGGAGAGGCCAGAGCAGACACAGGAAGGCCGGCTGAGAGGCCCGGCCTCTGAGGGCCAAGGGAGCCTCGTGGTGCCTTGGACCAGGGCCAGAGCAGTGGCTGGAGTCCAGGGAGYTCCGAGAGGAAGTGAGGGAAACGGGGAGGCCCCTGGTTCTCTGACCCACGCTGTGGCCCTCACAGGGAACCAGCAGCAGCCAAGGAGTGGACGGTGGCAATTACCGTGGTCTGCACTGCTGCTGATGTCACTGTCCCCCCACAGGGTGTCCCCGTAGGGCCTCAGGTCTGTCTTCTGGATTTGTACCACTTTCTATTCTTCTTTTGGTCCTGGCTTTCACACCCCCTGGTGTCACCAGACTTGCCTTTCTTTATAAAACRCGTCCTCTCCCTTCTTAAAAGCCTGGCTTTGTTTGCAAAACAGATTGGCCTCCTTCCATCGAATTGGCCTTCGAAGTCCATCTGAGTGTCCGAGTGCCKGTGATGTGTCCCAGGTTGGGCAGAGAAGGTGCCCTGTGGAGCTGGAGAGGGGCACCTGAGGCCGGTGTCTGCTGGGGTCTGCAGTAGCCTGCGCATCAGTGATACCCAATGTTAACTGAGCCTTTTCCGGGTATCGAGCACCTGAGCACTGCGTGTGTTCTGTCTTTGGCTCCCTGTGGGTTCCTAGATGAGAAAACCAAGTGATTCATGAGGGGAGGTTACTTTTCCAAGTTACTGGATAATAGGTAGCAGAGCCAGGGTTCAGCTTCTGGATCCAGGCTCTTCACAGCTACACCTTGGTGACTGAGTTTGTCATAACCATACCGGGAGCCAGCTTCCCAGGTGGTGACATGTGCATCCACTTGACTGTGACCCTGTATTTTGCATCAAAGGTAAATCAGAAAATCAAGAAATTTATCAACGTAATATCAGCCCACCCTGGATTCTTTAACTCATGCTATTCCATTCAGCGGAGGCATCTTGAGGGCCAGGTACTCTGCTCCTGCACAAAGAAAATGGTTGTGTGAAAACTCATGTTTAAATAGAGATGGATAATTTTCCAAGGCATAGAAAAGATGTTTGCTTAATGTTGTCAGTTAGATAGCAAGAAAGCAATCACTGCACAAACTATTCATCATAAGCTTTTGCAAAGAAATAAATACTTAAAAAATGAATGTAGATAGCGAGATAAGGCTGGGGATGTAGCTCAGTCATACAGCACTTGTCCATCCTGTATGAGGCCCTGGATTCCATCCTAGTACCACAAAATAGAGAGGTTGGAGGGGGGTGGGAGGGAGAGAGAGAGTCAATCCTCCCTAATCATCAATTCTGTCCCTGTGAATTCTCCTATTTGCAAAATCAAACGCACAGCACTTTGGTGACTATTTACAGATAGGTGCAGAGTGCTACAAGTTTGAGCCACATGATAGACATGTTCCCATCTGAAATCAAACAAAACAATCGTGTCTTCTTGTTTCATCTTCTGTCCTAACTAGTGCAATCTATTTCGTGCCAGTTGTGTGTTTTGTTGTTGTTGTTTTGTGCACGTTGGTGCTTTTTGTTAGTACTTTCTCTGTTTAAAATGCCCACTAGCACAGTGCAGATGTGCTGCTTGGTGTTCCTGAGCTGGGTGCCTTGGGGAGAAAAACCTGTGACAGATAAGCTCRGTTCAGCCTTGGGCTGTGGTGCTCTTGGCCACGCACCAGGAGCAGCACCTCCAGAGCATCCCTGAGCCTGCCTCTCTGCAGGTGAGGCCATCCTGGGAGGTGAGGCTAAACCTGAGAACTCGTGAAATGAGGAAGGAAGAACATTAAGAGCCTAAGAGCCCGTATTGGACAGCATGGTTGGGAGGCTGAAGACAAAGCAATTTGCATGTGGGTGACCCAGGGCCAGGGAGATGTTAATCCCTTCCTGCCTGGCGTGTTATTATAAGTTAATAAGACACATAACTAATTCCCTGTGAGAGATCCATGTGATCTAAAGCATCTTAAACCAGAGACTTACACATAAACAAAGTCCACGGGCCTCATAGGAACCTTGGTCCTCATTTCCCCGTGGAGCTGTGGCTCAGTATCCACCGATCCAGGATTCCTGGCACTTTACAGAACGTAACTACTGTGAATAGCAAGAAGCAACCACAGAGGATGTGCCTGGTCCATAGYGCTGCAGTCTAGGGCAGCAGAATAGGTCACCAAGAGACAAAGAAAATACCCCACAAGGTGTGTGAGACAGAAAGCTTATTGAAGACCCTCAGGGGTCGGCCTGGTGCTGACAGGCTGGACAGGGCATATCCACCCCTCAGGGTGCTTTGTCCAGCGGTGGATGACCACCTTCACGTGCTCTGCTCCGTGTCAGTGACCTTGGGGAGAGGGGTTTTGTAGGTTGGGCTACAGAGCAATGGCATCATTCACTTCACTTGCCYCTTGGATGACCAGCCTCCCAAGGAACTTGGCAAGTAAGCAGCTTTCCACAGAGAACACTCACGGGCCCTAATTCCTAGCATGTGTGAGAGCCAGTCAGCATCCTTCAAGGTAATATTATCTAGGCGTCTGACCTGCTCTCATTGTTCTCTGGACGTGGCTGGGTTCTTGGGAACATAAAGGAGCCTTTCAGGGACATGGTATTTTACTCTCCTCCTTTCTCCAAGAATGACACAGATCAACAGAGAGATATAAGGACAGACAGACAGACAAATAGAAATATATGCACATTTCAAATTGAATGGAAGATAGGCTTAAGTGTGTACGTGTATCTATCTCTCTATATATGATAGGTTTAGCATCCCTGATCTGAAAATATGAAATCTAAAATGCTCCAAAATATTTTGAGGGCTGAACTCACACGTGCCCTCATGTGACAAACCCTGGTGTAATTCTAGGTACGTTAAAAATAGTGTGTTYGGACTTGAATACCATTTCTAAGATATCCAATTATGTCTATACAATATTCCAAAAATAAAAAGAATCTCTAAAATCAGGAAGACTTCTGGCTGCAAGCAACTTAGATAAAGAATACCCAACCTGGCTAGGCACGATGGCGTGTGTCTGTAATCCCAGTGACTTGGGAGGCTGAGGTAGGAGGATTGCAGGTTCAAGGCCAGACTCAGCAATTCAGCATGGCCCTAAGGAACTTAATGAGACTTTCTTTAAAAAAAAAAAAAAATTAGAAAGGACTGGGGATGTGGCTCAGTGGTTAAGCACCCCTGGCTTCGATCTCTGGTACCCARATAAATAAATAAATAAATAACCTGTATATATTTCAATTTGAGTAAATATCTCTGCTCCCCCGACTAGTTGTCACCTTATCAATGCTACTAATTTCTATCCTATCAGAGACTTATTCACCTTATTAGGAGCCTGCGTTTCTGTTGCCACTGCCAATGGCCATATATATGGTCCATGGGGCTGGCCTGGCCCTCAGACAGGCAGAGGGGGATGGGCGTGTTTCCTGGGGATGGAGGATCACAGACATGACCTGCTCTCTTCCCTAGAGATACCCTTTCCTTACCACTGTGATTGACGGGACGGTGCTACCCAAGGACCCTGAGGCCATTTTGGCTGAAAAGAATTTCAACACAGKCCCCTACATCTTGGGAGTCAACAAGCATGAATTTGGCTGGTTTATTCCAAAGGTGAGAACACACAAGCCACTTCGACAGATGGACCCCTGACCACCTATCTTCCCTCCAACTTCTGGTCCCCTGAGTTCTCCAGTCTCAAATCTCTTCCTCTGAATTCAGTGCAGCTGTCCCCATTGCCACAAGTCAACATTTCCTGGGATGCCCCAACTGACCCTGGGTGCCAGAGCCCCGGCAACCCCTCCCTTCAAACATTGATTGTTTTCCTATTAAAGAATCCCAACTTGTCCAGGTGGGAGAGCCAGAGTAGAGACAATAATTRTAATAAATAAAGTAAAAAGCAAATGATGTTTAGGAAGAGGAAGGAGCGGGGGTGTTCAGAGTGAGACCTGGGCCAGCCCCTTCCACCTTGGGCTTGGACTCATGGGCCCATAGGTCACCCCGTGCGCTCCCCGGCACCACATGGACAGAGTCGGAGAAACTTGAAACTGTTTCATCAAGTTGAAACTGGCTTCTGAAAGGGAAGAGGCTTTTCTTCTCTTAAAAACCAGTTGAAAGCAAATGGAACAGGGTTTCTTCAGTAACAAGCTCTCAGTGGGGCAAATTCCCTGACGGCAAGGGCTGGAAATGTCTCAGGTCTGGGATGCTGGGGAGGCACTGTGGGTGGGGGGTGCGTCACCTGGCTCACCTGTGGCATTTGGTGATCAGGCTCAGCTGCGGTAAGGCCCCCACGGAGGTGAGGGCTCATCCTTCTACCAGGACTGGAAGAGAGCTCAAGACTGATGTCCTCCAAGGTTCACATTTCAAAGTGACTTAAAAAAAAAATTTTTTTTTAAATGCTCTCAGGTCCTTGAGGAAACAGTTCTGTATGGGATATTTTTATCTCGAAGGACAGAGAAAGAATTGATAATTGCAAACTTTGTAAGGTAAATGCCTTCAAAGAGGGTCTGGGGGCCTGCTTGGCTGGAGAAAAACAATATTTCCACCTGGAAATATGGCAGGCATTTTAGAGGGCCGGGCTCCTCCTAGGACATGTCCTTAAGCCACTAGCAGCCAGGCTCCAGTTGGGTCAGTGCAGAGGTTGGACAGGATTGTCACATGCTGAGAGTTCTACAGTTCTCACTTCGGAAGGATTTCAGAGGGTATGCCTAAAGGTCAAACCCTCATGGTGGATTTTGGCTTCCTTGAGTCTGTGAAGGTGTGATCTTTCCCCTGGGTCCCTAAGCCCTCTACTTCAGCCTTCGCCTGGCCAGCACCTGCCTTCTCTGGGCTGACCCTTGGCTGGGTTCTAGCCGATAGACAGAGGTTGACCTAAAGATAAAGATCTATTTAAATAGCAAAGACAGCTTCTCCTAAAGATCTGTTTATCTTCTCGGCACTCCTTGACTTTCTAGGTACAAGTTCATTGGATTCATTTATTTTGTTTAATGCATCAAAGACCCACACCCTTTAGAGAGGGCCCAAAGGACCTTCATTCTGCACTGCTGTGTTGTTTGTCCCGTTTGGTTCTTTCCCTTAATTCCTGATGATTCCCAAATGTTAAGCCATTTTTCCCCCCAACAGGCGATGGGCTATCCGCTCTCTGAAAAAACATTAGACCAGAAGACGGCCACGAAACTCTTGCTGAAGTCCTTCCCACTCGTTGTAAGAGTCCAGGAATCGTGGGGGTGGGTTAAGAAAGAAAGAAGGGCTGGGGGCTGGCTCCAAAGTAAAGATCAAGTCCAAGGCAGAGCCAAGCGCGGGATCCGGTGTCCAGGGTCCATGGGGCCTYCTTTGCTGGCTGGTCACTTTATTGATGATTTCAGAACCTTTCAGAGAAGCAGTCTATYGATGCCATCGCGGAGTATTTAGGAGACACAGAGGACCCTACCAAAAASAAAGACCAGTTCATGGACTTGATGGGAGATGTCATGTTTTGTGTCCCAACTGTGCTTACGGCCCGTGGCCACAGAGGTGAGTCCCAGAGGTGGAGTGGGAGAGGGAAATGGACTCACCAGCCTGAGGTGGGATCCACCCGGCTCCAGCACAGACAGATGTGGGCTCTGTGAAGCTCAGGCCTGAGGGCGGGTTCCCCGTGGCTCAGGGGGAGGGTGCTGTCCTGTTGGGTTTCTGCTAGTAGCAAACTAAAAAAAATAAATAAATAAAAAAGGTTCAAGTGCAAGGGGTTTATTTGGGAGGTGATCCTGGAAAACACCGGTGGGGAGATGAGGAAGGGAGGCAGGAAGAAGAAAACAGTGGTCATAGTTCAAATTTGAATGCCCCCCAAGGCCCATGTGTTAGAGGTTTGGTCACAGCCCATGGGGACATTGGGACAAGGGGGAACTTTTAGAAGGGACAGCCTAGTTGAATGAAGTTAGGTCCCCAGGGACTTGGCCTTGAAGGAGATTGTGAGACCCCAGACTCTCTCTTTGTTTCCTGAGTGGCCTGAGTGAACGGGTCTCCTCTGTCACCTGAAGGCCTGGTGTCCCCCGCTGCTGCAGGTCCTAGCAACAGAGCCAAATGACTGTGAACTATAACATGAGTCAGGATGGGTCCTTCCTCCTGATAAGTCGGTTGTGTCCCTTGTTTGGTTTAGCAACAGGAAGGGAACTAACACGGAAACCAATGGAGGACGTCCTGTCCAGCSATGCCCCCCAGGGACCCCTGGCTCTGGGGAGCTCTGAGAAACAGGCCCTCCTTCTRGGTGCAACCGAAGAGCCTCACGGGACCTTTCTTTTCCTACTAATCTGCATCCACCTAATCTGCAAGCCAGGAAATGTTTCCCTGGTCCTGACTTCTCGACCCATGCTGCAAGCGTTTTCAAATTCAGTACACATAGAAATAAAAAAAAAAAAAGCCAAAAAAATAGCAGATCTAACATCTGCCCAAGCGCCCTTCAGTACGTGTGCCAAATCCACTTCGCCTCCGGAGGGTTCCCAGGAAGCTCTTCTGCCCTTCCATAAACCTGGGTGTGTCTGCCACTCTGTCTGATCTGTGATGTCCCCACCTGCGTGTCATGGGGCTCTGCTCATGCTGGGCTTGTGTCTTTGCTCTGAGATTTCAGGACTTTTGAGTTCAGGGATTTGCCAGGACTACATGGATTTGGTCAGCTTTCGTTTATTGTATTTGTCTCATTCTTCCCAATCAAAAGAGCGCCTCTGAATATAAAATTCATATGTTATAATTGTAGGAAGTTT